TGTATACATCTCAATTTCGAAAAATTTACCCTTATGACTGGTTTTATGGTCCAGGGTCACATATGATTTTATATAGATTCCTTTTTTCAATCAATTCAATCATTTCTTTGTTTCTTTCTGACTGATTGACTGATTGACTGATTGATTGGAGTTTGTAATTTAGAAAAAAAAAAACACCATGAATCAGTATTGCAGATTGATGAGAAGTCTAGCTTTTGTTTGCATTATACTCTATTTTAGTGTAGAAATTTTTCCAATTTTTTTTGAGGAATTGTACTGACATATAACAGATGATACACAAGTATTTGCTAACTTTCTTTGGCTAATATACTGGACCTTCTGAATTGGGTGAAATATTGTTGGCAGATGCTTCTGTGTATGACTCCGAGTGCTCCTATTCAGCGCTAGGTGCTGAAATTAGGGTTTTTCTTGGCTGAGAGCAGCTCAGACTGTAACAGATGGCACACAGAAAGCATCAACTTGCAATTCAGTTCAAACTGAAAGCAGCAGATGAGGGATATAAATACCTCTGGGTGGTTTGGATGAAAAGGTACTGCTAAGGAAAATAATACTTTTATCTGGAGAATGCATTAGACAGTAATTAAGTAACAGCAACAAAGAGACATTGGCAAATGGCAGATACAGTTTTGGAAATTAGAAAAGGTCAGCTGAATGAAATTATCCCCAAAAAATTACAAAATAATTTATTTACTAAATTATACTAAATCTAGTCTATGAACTCACTAAATGCATTTAAACTATACATGTTTATTAAGTTTTTACTTTATGGAAACTACGAAATGTGTAATAATCAAACAGTTGCATTATTCATTATTCTACAGAAGTTGAGATCCAAGCTTTTTTAAGCTGTTGTGTTGTCACTAACATGTATAGAATAACACAGATGAGAAAATCATTTATCCTATTGAACTGAGTGGTGGTAGGAGTAAAAGGGGGTTGGGACGCCAATGTAAAAGAGGAAAGTTATGGGGGGTTATCCATCATATTATACTTACACTAATGTTCTGTGACATTTCATTTGATACTGTGGTGTCATTAGAAATGTGTTTGCCTCTGAAAAGATGTTACAGTTAAATGTCAACAGGGATCCACTCTTTAGGATCTGCCAAATAGTTTGAGGATGTTTCATCCATTGAAGGGCATTTGCTGCAGCCTAATATAAAACTCAGCATAGTGTTTTTGTGGGCTTTCTTGATGTAACCTAATGAACCAACTTGTGGAATAGTGTTTCACCTTTGTGAAATGATATTAGGGAGTTCAAATATGAATGTTTCAAATTAAGGGCTACTCTCATTCACATGGTATTCACTGAGCATCCAGTTAAAGCTTGTGAAGATCGAGTTTTATGGTTGGCTTGAATTTGATCTGCATTAATACTATCAGTGTGTTGGATTAATGACACAAATGTAGCTGTCTCTTCACTTGGACCACATTCAAAGTTGTTGTTTTTTTTAAGCTCTAGAAATAGGACAACACCCCTGGTGAGAGTGTTCCCAACAGTGTTGATTTTCATTGTGACTTTCCAGTGCTGGACTGCTTATATGACATCTC